CGCCCCGCGCACCTGCCACTCTGTCCCAGTTTCCCAGGCACGCCAAAACTGAACCACCACTTCTCCTCCCACCGCAATTTCTAATAGCGTTGTGTCTCAGGCCTTTTTCAGCGCGGCGTGGGACACTGGGGTCCGCCCCAATCCACGTTTCCCAATCTCTCGCGCCCTTCTTGAACATTCAGATGTCTGACTGCCTCGTCGGGCACTTGCTCCTGGCGTCCTCGCTGACCTCCGCCAGCGCCTGGATGTCCCTGACCGCCTGCCCGGCCCATGGCGTAGATCTTTCGCACGCCCACCCAATTTCCAATCTCCTGGTCTGATAGAGGCTGCCCAGCTTCGACGCGCCAAAAACTGCTACCAACACACCGCCAAAGTCCCCCTGAGATTTCGCACATGGTCTGCACCACCGTAGCCTGCGCATCCTCGGTGCTGTCGATCAGCGCGGCGTCCTCCGTCTCCTGACAAAACTCCTTGTTGGCGTAGCACCTGGTCGGTCCATCTACTTCTACCCAGCTCATCCTGCCTCCTGCCATTCTCCTCAAAAGTAGAGCCATCGTACTGTCGAGTGCCTTCGAGTGACTTTCCACCAGCACAAGCGCCGTCGACCCACTAGGGCCTGCCCCCGAAACAAACGCCCGGCACATCTCCTTCTTTATCATGTCTGTAGTATCTGAAGACCAGAAGCATCCACATTGTCTGTAGGCTACCTGCGTGGCCTCGCACCTCGTCTTGATCTCTCCCGCGTATCCTTGATCATCTGGTAGGCGTGGCCCCAGTGCCCTCATCTCCCTCGCCGGCGTGCCCTTGATCCTCTTTTTGTTTGTTTGTGTTTTTCTTCTCTTGTTTTGATATCTCTGTCTCTTTCTCTCTGTTTCTTTCTTTCTTTCTCTCTCTCTCTCTCTCTCTCTCTCCCTCTCTCTCTCTCTCTCTCTCTCTCTCTCTCTCTCTCTCTCTCTCTCTCTCTCTCTCTCTCTAGCTGCCTCGTGGTCCCGTCTCGCCCTGGCCCTCGAAAAGTCACCAGGTGGTTGGTCTTGGCTGGGTTCAAGCTCCATCCTCCTTTCTCCAACTTGCGCTCTAGGCGCTGCGTGGTGGCGTCGATCTGGTCTGCAAGTCTTCTCGCGCGGGCTCCGGGGCGATCCGAGATAACCTAGCTTCCGCCAAGAGCCGAAAGGAACGGGGGCAAGGGCGAGCCCGGAAATCCTCGCTTTCGCCGAGCCCCAAATGGTGCCCGATATTACCTCGCTAACTCCAGTCTCCTGTGGGGGCGGCCCCGACGATGCCACTGCGTGGATCTTGATGATGTCGCCCATGAAAGTGTTGAGCGAGAGGTCGTGCTCTTGTTCGTTGGCTGGGCCCATTGCACCACGTACTGTCTGCATCTCGCCCCTCTCCATTTCTTCCTGGTGCCACTGTCCCACGTAGAGGTTGCAAGAATCATCGGACTGTTGGGCGCACGGCACATTCCATTTGCACCCCTCGCGTGGTCTGCGCATGCAGCCAGTCGCCGGCGCATTCCATGCCCATTGAAGTGTAGTGTACTCAACAGCGAATGGTAGGTCCTCCTCTTTCGAAATGGCGAAGACTGGTGCCAGCAGGAGGTTGCGTTTCGTGCTCGCGAAGGCGTTTGTGCAGTCGCAGTTGCTGGCGATGGTGCTCGCTCCTGCCTGCCTTGCTCTCCACTGTGTGGCCTCGACGCAGGTAATCGCGTTCTCTCTCGATATATTTCTAAGCCCTCCCCGGGCCCGACATGGGTGTCTCGGTGTTTCCCACTGTAATGGGTACCCTTGTGAAGGGCCATTCCCATTGAGCAATCTGCGTGCATGACTCTTTTTCCTCCAATACCCTGGTTTGATTGCCTTTTCTGCAGAGAAGGAAACGTACCTGTGCCAATACAAAGGAGTAGCTTGATATTGGCGACACTTGATGAGGATGTCCTGTAGCTTGTTCCTGCACTCCATACTCACGTCTTTCTCCAACGCCGACGGTCCCATCCCAACTTTCTCATGTCTCCCCGGGTGATACGTTGTTTTTCCGTCGCCCGTAATGCTTCACCATCGTCGTCTCTGCCTGTCCTGCCCAGCGCTCTGCCTGATGTCCAACCCATTTTCTGGAATACAAGCCCTGCCACTCTGTACTTGTAGAGTGAGCTGTGCTTGTCCAAGTCTTCCTAGTCATCTCGGTTCTCCGCCGCCCGTGCTATCTGCTGCTCCAGCTTATTGCTCAGCTGCTCAGGGTCTTCCAGGTTGACTGTAGGTTCCAGTATCACCCATGTTAGTTCCGCTGGTACTCCCCACGGGGGGACCCCCCGTCTTTGCCGCATTCCTGCAGTACTTCTGCATGTTTCTGTTATCCCTCTCCACTTGGGCCCCCAACTCCATGTCCAATGGGAGCGGCATATTCTCTGCTATCATCTCGTCATGCTCCTGCTCGTACCCTTCCCGGTCCATCGGTTCGGCTACCAGCCCCCCTTTCGTGGGGGTGTTTGCCCAGTTATTTGAGCCAGTCCACTGAACTCCACCATGCCAGACTCTCCTGCGTGTCAGACTTTACCATGCCCGCTCTTAACTCCATTCATGTTTGGCCAGTAGGGAAGGACGTACTAACTGGAAGGCGGTCACCCCCTTGTCTTCCTGCTTCTTCTTGATGGGGAACACTTAGTTCATGGCATTCCTGCCTGCCTCAATCCATTTCTTCCACATCTGGTCTGCCGTGGGGCGCTCCTGTAGCTCTCTCCATTCTGCCCCTGCCGTTAGCTTCTCCGGGGTTTCACTCCGAGAAAACCTCGCTACTGTTTCTCCTGGGAGCTCGGCAGTTTCCTCCTGGGTTGCACTCTGGAAAAAAAAAACCTCGCTAATGCATCCCAGCGGAGTTCTGAAGGATTGTCCTGGGTCGCACTCCGAGAAAACCTCGCCAATGCTCTTCCTGGTTGCTGTGGCAGGGCGGCCTGCAGGTGGCGCTCACGTATTCTTCTTTCCTCTAGTCGACCTCATCCCCGTCCTTTTCCTCCCTCCCAACCTTTGTCACGTGCTCCCTCCCTCTCTCCTCATCCACCGTCCTCCTCCTCCTCTCCTCGTCATCCGCCTTCTGCTCATCCTCCTCCATCCTTATCCTCACCATGTTTCCTCCACTTCTGGCTTGATGCATCCCGGCTCCTCCTCCGGGACATCCCGCACCTCTCCCTCCTCCGCTCCTCCCCGTCGTCTTCCTCCCGTTCCCATCCTCGAGGCCTTGTGCAGTCCTCAGATCCTCTTTATCATTCCCTCCCCATTCCCGCCATCTCCTTCTTCCGTGTCCCCTTCCCGCCATGATTCCCCCCACCACCCCCAGAACAGCCTGAATGAGTATGTACAAAAGCACACAAACCAGCGTCGTCGTCGCCTTTCTATTTCTTCATATCCTCCGTCATTCGTCCTCCTCCTCCTCGTCCTCATCGTCCTTCTCACCCTCCTCCTCCTCCTCCTCCTCTTCCTCCTCCCCCTCGTTCCCCCCCTCTCCTTCCCTCCATCCTCATTTCCCCTCCCGGAGGCGGAGGGGGCCTGCGATCCGGAAGCTTCACCCTCCCTTCGTGAGCGACGACAGGGGCGAATATAGCCCAGGGGGGAAGCAACACATTGCAACCAGGGGCGCCGACGGTCCACGCCTTCGGCGAGGCTCCCCGGCAATTGCGTGCTGTGGCCGCCACGAGGCTGCTCGCCCCTATCATCGCCTCCAGTCCCTCTGGCCCGAGACCCCATGCCGATGCCCCGCCCTCCGTGCACGGAATACAAAAAAAGGCACCAATGCCGCTGGCTCCGGGCTCCTGTCGGCCATACAGCGGATCCCAGAACTCCTGAACCCAAACGTGCTGTGTCATCTCTTCGCTTGGAACGCATCATAGAGTCTTCAGACGAAACCACCCACTGGCACCGCTGCTGGACCTCCCCCAGGTTGTGTCCCTGACTCGAAGCAGGTCCAAGCGTGGCGGCGAGGGCTATCCAGGACGAGCAGCAGCATCGGAATATTCTCTCCTCTAACTCCCTCAGGTGTGTGAGAATCGACCCCTCACCCCAAAAAACTGACTACACGCTGGTCGGAATCATTGGGTAAAAGCATGAAGTAGGAAGGCGGATCAAGTAGATTGGTTTCAGGTTCTCCCAGAGAAGTATTACGTTACAGCAGAAACATACCGATTATTGAAATAGGAAGGCGCTTGAAGTAGATTGGCATCTGGAAATCCGGAGTACCTACTTCCAACGACTGACGTGTAGCCATGTTGACCATACATTGACAGCTATCTGTCACTAGATTATTGTGAATTACGAGCCGCGTCTACATCGCAGAGCGGGGGCGGGGGGCTGGGGAGGGGTGAGCCCCTCCTTGCCAAAGCCGATTGGCCCCAGGCAATACCAATGGCCTGGGGCATACCAATGTCCCAGAGTGTGGCCGCCACGATCGCCGTGACGACCTCCGAAACTGACCCAGAGGTCTGGGTCGGGGTCGGATTTCACGCAGCGATCCCTCCCACTCGGCGGCGACGATAGGGGCAACTAGCCCAGGGGCGGGCCTTACACGTATCCCGCTGGGGAGCCTCGCCGAACACATGGACCATCGGCTCGCCCCTGGGCTACAGAAGGGCCGCTGAAATAAGGAACGCTAAGTAAGGAACCAAGCCCATCTAGCGCCAACAGCGCCTGGGTGCACGAGGAGGGCCACAGGAACAACCGCGAAATGGCCTGAGGAACGGCGAGCCCGATCCGAATCAAAAGGCTGTCCTGACTTCAGCGTCTTGGCTGCATGTGCCCCTACCTGGGGAGAAAAAGAAGGTGCCGATACCGCCACTCCCCAGGCCCCGCCTGGGGAGCGTTCTGGCCAGAACTCCGAAGCGAACCCAGCGGTGGTGGCGAGGGCCTCCCAGGATGCCCCCAAAAGGCGGACACGACAGAGGGGCAGCGGTGTGGGCACCCTCCCCTCCTCTGACCATCGCCGCCCCCGACCCACCCCGGATCCGGGGGCCGCGGCTCCTAGCTACCCGCGGGGGGCCCGCCGCGGCGGTGGCCGACCCCTGCGCCTCCGCGGCTGCCGGGGCGGCGGCCACCGCGTGCCGCGCGGGCCTCGGCCGCGACGGGGGAGGCGCCGCTCGGGCCTCGCCGACGATCGCTTCGGTCGCCATGGTCGATCGTCGCCAACGCATCGTCGGTCGTCGCCTTCGCTCGTCGGCGGTGATCGTCGGTCGTCCCCGACGGATCGTCGGTCGTTGCCGTCGATTGCCGTCGCTGACCGATTGTCGGCCGTCGCCAGTCGGCGTCGGATCGTCAATCGCCGCCGAGCATCGTCGATGTGGTCGTCGATCGTTGCCCGTGATCGTCGCTGCCGATCGGATCGTCCTGGATCGTAGCCGCCGCAGGAGTCGCCCAGCCTCTTCCACGGGCCCGCCGGGCCCCACCCCGCACGGAAGCCGAGGCGAAGGAATGCTCGCGCTGGGCTTTTCTTTTGCGCGCCCTCTCGGTGTCTGGACACTGCCGTACCCCTCACGTCTGCGAGATGGCGCGCCTGAGCTCCCTTGCTAACTGATCCCATGCGCCTGCCTCGGCACGGCTGCAGCCAAACAAAAACTCCCTCCTCCTCGCCGTCATCATCCACCTTCCCCCCCCCCGGTTTCCCACGGCGGGGTGGCCTGTGACCACCTCCCACACCTCCCCTTTATCCCTCTCATCATCCCCCCTTCCCCCCTCGTCATCAGTCGCCTCGTCCTCCTGCTTCAATTCCTGCTCCTCCCCTCCCTCCGCCTCGTCCTCCCTCCTCCCCACCCTCCTTCCCGCTCCTCCTCCACCCCCACTCCTCACTTCCTCCCCCTCCCCCTCCCCCTCCCTCGGGAAAGCACCAACCCCGGTCAACACAAACCCGGGTCAGCCAGAGCCATGTCGCGAAGCCCGGCCGGCCGATTGGTAGCTCCCAAACCCAGGCCAGCGGAGGGCAGAAATGGGAATCGGCCCCACGTGGCTCCCAAAACCCGCGTCAGCCAGAGCGGGTTGGCTGACCCCCATCAGCGCTGACCTCCGCTACTATGGACGTCCGAAATCAATACAACAGGCGTGATGCCAAACAACGAATGTAGTCCGAAGCCGACAGCGGCCGCTGTTGGGCAGGCGGCCTTCCGTCTCGAATGGACAACGATCGCGGCAAAATCGAGAGCGTGCCCTGTTCAAAATGAACAGGACATTCGACCTTCGCACCCATTATTCCCGGACCCACTTCTTTCGTTCCGACGCGAGCCCCGATTCCCCTCCCTGTCCGCCCTTCCCAAACCCACGTCAGCCTGAGAGGGGTTGGCTGACCTCTGTTAGCGATGACCCCTTACGTGAGCCCCAACTCCCAGCACATGCGACTCGAGGCGGGTCCACAGCCATTTCTTTTGGCTCCTAGCTGCCTCGATGTCGTGCCTCGGCGGCTCATCGCGCCGTGCGTGTGGAGCTTCGTCTTCCTTGTCGTCCAGTGCGTCTTCAAGGTCAGGGGGGCGTCGCATGCTCGACATAGATATTGCGTCGCAATCGTTACGAATCTTAGCTGCCCCGATACGCAACACCCAACCCGTAACGTTTTAACACGGAGCTTAACACGCAGACCGAAAACGGCCTGACGCGATACGCTCGCCAAAACGTGAGCCGATGTACGTGGAGCCAACGCGCCACGCACTGACACGGACGTTCTGAGAACGGCGCGTGCTGCGTATCGAAACGGGCGCATCGAGGCAGCTAAGATGATTAACCCAAAAAGGACCTCAAACCCTTTGGGAGGGGACCTGAGTTCGGAGGGCCAAAACAATGAGGCATAGGGGGGTCTTTTCTGCAGGTGTATCAGACCCAACCCCCTAACGCGAAGACGGGGAACTCAGTGAGGCCACGTCTCCATCGTGTTATTCGGGTTCGGGGTTCTCTTGTGCTCGATGATGAGATGTTGCGTCGCCATCGTTCCGAATCCGAATCCGAATCCCCGCCCGAGCCTGCCCACGTCCACGGCACTCACGGCGCCGTCGGCCGCCTGCAGGCGCGGCGGTGCCCGGGCCGCGGCCGTGCCGCCGCGCACCGCCGCGGGCGCCACGGCCGCCGCGACTCGGCACGCCGACGCGCAGGCGCCCTCCGCGTCGGCGTGCCGCCGCGCGTCGGCGTCCAGTGCGTCCTCCTCGCCGCGGGGCGGCGGAGCTCGGCGGAGGGCGATCTTCGTCGATGGCCGTCGCCGGTGATCGTCGCCGTGGCCGATCGTCGCCGACGGATCGTCGGTCGTCGCAGTCGCTCGTCGCCGGTGGTCGTCGGTCGTCCCCGACAGGATCGTCGGTCGTCGCCGTCGATTGCCGTCGCCGACTGATTTTCGGCCGTCGCCAGTCGGCGCCGACCGTTGATCGAGCCGATCACCGTCGCACATGGCTGTCGATCGGGTCGTCCTGGATCATCGCCGCCGCAGGAGCGGCCCAATCTCTTTTTCACCGGGCCCCCCCGCCCCCCCGCCCCCCCCCACAGCAGCCTAGGCGGAGAAATGTTCGCGCCCGGTTCCTCTTGTGCGCGCCCTCTCGGTGCCTGGCCACTCCAGGGGCCACGACCGCCGAAGGCGGGGAACCGAAGAGGACAGGATGGGCCAGGGGTCAGAGAATTTCAATTACCCTATTCCTCCTCCTCCTCCCCGTCCTTTTCCTCCCGCCCCCCCCCCCCTCTCTGCGAGCTCGCCCTCCTCCTGGGCAAACAAAAGGGATCGCGCGTCACCCGCCGCACGCTCTGCGCGTCTCGGCATGGCGGCGTCGGCGCGGAGCCCTCTGGCGAGGGTGCTGCGCAGACGGCAGCTCCGCCACCTGGCGCAGTCCAGAGCCCAGCGGGGCAATTCCACACACGGCGCAGGCCGCAGGTGTCGCGCGGGGGGGCGGAACAACAACGGAACTGAGAGCTCAAACAAATAAACATGAGACGCACATAGACATACTGGCACGACATGCCCTCCTTGGAGGCGCGTCCGACCCGAACATACGGTATACCCATCCTGCAGCATATACTTTCCCAAGCGGTGTGGCCAGAAAGCGCCCGCCACGACGCATGTGCTATAAGATTTCTCGGCGCGCGCGTCGCCCCTGGGGGCGGGGGGAGGACGCACACATGATATTAGTATGTTGGGGTGACGCCGAAAACACGCTCTCTCCGTCGGCAGACTGTAGTCGGTGCAGACATGGAGCAGACAGAGCCAGAGAGAAACAGACACACCAGATGTGTTTCCACCGGCGAGGTGGCGGCACCGTCGCGAGTAATTTCGAAGGCGGGACACGCTTCGTTCAATTCCACCTGGCGTTGCAGGCGGCTGCACTGCGCGAGGCGACTCGCGTGGAGAAGAAGGCGCCAGAGCGAGGAGGGCGCACAGGCGGGGCCCACTGGCCCAGGCAGTGGTGGAAGAGAGCGTGCACGTGCAGGCCCAGCGCGCACAAGCCTGCAGCAGGGGGCGCAGAACGTGAGAGGCGGGTGCGGCAGCGCGCCCGCGGCAGCTGCCCGTCACACGCGCAGTCCTGCACTCCCCCGTGCGGGTCGTGTGTGGCGGGCCCCCCTCCCACCCAGTGGGGTGCACTCGCCTGAGCCGGGCACTGCCTCTCGAGGCTGGGCGCCGCCGCGCGTCGCCACGGCCGCTCAGCGCGCACGTCGCAAAACAAAAAAAGCAGCGCGCCGCGGCACGACCGGCCGAGCACCAGCGATGGGAGCAAGAGAAGAAGCCTGGAAACGTTGGGCTCGGCGGCTACGCCGAAGAGGCAGATGGACACCACTGGGATCCTGGCCAGCAACCCGCGCTCCGCCAGGAGTGAGCTGCGCCTGGCGGGGGCGCCAGGGCTGCAGAAAAGCGCAGGAAGGATCGGGAGGACACAAAGTTTGGCTTACTTGGGGGGAGGTGGGCTTGGAGTGAAATCGCTCGAAATGGCCCCTGGAAGAAGGAACTGCGAGCATCCAGCTGGGTTCGTTCTCTAGCCTCACCGTGGCACCCCCCCGCCCTGGTGGAGATTGAGCCGATCAGGCCAAAGCGCCCGAATCCAACGAAAACGGCAGCGAGCAGCAAAGAGTGGAGTGCGAGTCCAGCACGCCGCGCACCAACAAAACCGACAAGAAGGAGCGGAACACCAGAACCAGCCATAGAAAGCTCCCATTTCGGACACGGTCTCGTCTGGAGATGCCTCGACGAACCCCTGAAAGGAGGCACGCGGCGGGCCGCCAGCACCCCGCTGGGGCCCCCACGGATGAAACGGAGACGGAGATCGCGGCATCCGCGGCAGCAGGGCGCGTGCCAGCCTGAGGGCGGTCTCAGGACGCCGGGGCGCTACCTGTGCTCACGAGAGCAGCGCTGGGGCGCGAGATCCAAAAGACCTGGACGCCCAGAACAAACACACACACACACACATACACAGGGAGCACAAATACCCCCATGCACACACACACACACAGACACACACACACACACACACACACAGACACACACACACACACACACAGACACACACACACACACACAACCCCTCCTGCCCCCCCGCCCCCCCGCCCCCTCCACCCCCCACCCCCGTCCTCCCGCCCCTCATCCTCGCCTCCTGTCCCAGAACTCTCCTGGTAGGGCTCTTCTGGATGCCCTCATCCCCGCCTCCTGCCGCTCACCCCCGTCTCTTGCCCCTCATCCCCGCCTCCTGCCCCTCATCCACGTCCTCCTGCCCCTTCCCCGCCTCCTGCCCTCCCCTTCCCCCCTCCTCTGTCTCTTCCCGGCAGGGCTCCCGGAGCAAGGCGAGCGCCCAGTCGCGGAACTCCCGCTCGTCCGCGGTGGGCTGACTCGTCTGGGTCTCCTCCCGGGGACGCGGGGTGGGGAGGAGGAAGGCACGAGGAAGGAGCGGTCCGTGTGAGAACGGGAGGGAGCTCTGGCCCGGCTTTCGCCCCGGGGGGGGGGGGATCTGATACGCGGCCGCTTCCTCGGACAGCAGCTGACCCCCCGGCTGCGCCAGGGGCGCTGCCGATGCCGACGCGGCTCCACATGCAGAGGATGTGGCATGAGAAGGACGAATGCGCGAGGAAACATGCATGACGATGAGGGAAAGAAAGGAGTAGGAGGAGGAAGAGGAAAAAAGGAGTAGGAGAAGGATTCTCAAGAGCCCCTTAGAATCCCCCTTACCCCTGAAGTGAAAGAAATAGGTGAGACAGAGGGAGGGATGAGGTAAGACAGAAGGGAGGGGGTCCCTTGTCCTTATTTTCCTCGTCCTCCTCCTCGACACATCCTCCACCTCCGCCGTTGACGACGCAGACTTCGACGTCGACCAGGACCACGACGACGACGTGAACGAAGACGGCGGCGACGCCGCCGCCGCTTCCTCCTTGTCTTGATCCTCCTCCTCCTCCTCCTCCTCTTCTCCCCCTCCTTATCCTCCTCCTCCTCCTCCTCCTCCTCCTTCTCCTCCCCCTCCTCTCGTGGAAACGTAAGACTCAAGCTGTGTGAGCCGAACTTGTCTGATGGGGCCCTTAGAAAACGGCGGGTGCTGCTTTGAAATTAAGCGCGAACTCCCGCGGTAGACCCTTCATGAAAACTGGACCGTCGCAAATCACGCTAGGACCGACCACAAAATCGGCGGCGGACCCGAGCCCGGGCAAACTCGATTCTTGCGTTTCCCCGGGCCTTCTTGTCCTACGCTGGGCGAACTTAAGCCACGGAGCTGGAGAGCACCACGGGTGAAAAAAGAATGCGCGAAGTCGACTTAGGCAAGGCGCGAACAAATTAGGCGAGGCCAGCGTCGAAGACTGAACGGCCAGGGGGCAAGAGGGATGAACACACATAAGTAGGCTCAACAGCTCGAAACGTACGCTAGCCTCGTTTCCCGGAAGTTGGACAGGCGCAGCGGCTCAAGGAAGCCAGAATAGGCCAAGGTGAAGATGCCAGGCCTAACGGGCACAGAGTATATGCCTGCCACACGGTAAGGTGGAGGGGGGGAAGAACGTACGTCATAACTCCTGTTTTGAGCATGGACCGACCGTCCGGCATTCCTACAGGCCTATCACGAACTGCTTCTAGAACCACATAATATTATGAGAAAACACAATGTCCTTCGAACATAAAACCGATGTATTCGAACAAGACGGTCACGGCCAAATGCTCCAATAACGCTACGTTCAAACCGTAAGAGGTTCTGGGAACCTTCTCTGGTGGGCCTGTCGGCAAGCCAGGACGCTTCGCCACTGCTTGACTCTCATAATCGGCACGAACCTCCTCCTCCTCGTCCTCCTCGCGCGGCGGGCAAGGTCTGTGCCGCCCACACCCTGACCTTCTCCGCGCCCTTCCGCACCCGGTAGGCGACCGTGGCACCCAGCAGCAGCACCAGCAGCAGCAGCACCAGCAGCAGCAGCACCAGCAGCAGCACCAGCAGCAGCAGCACCAGCAGCAGCAGCACAGCAGCGGCCCGGCCGCGCCGCCCGGCCGGTTAGACGACGAGTTCCGCCGCAGGGCACCTCAAACAAAGAATCTGGGCTGGCCGTCGGAGGGCGTGGCCCCGAGAAAGAGAGAGAGACAGGACGGCACCAGCCACGCTAGAGGCCAAACGACGCTCCTCACGGGTGGCGTGGCGCCGCTCCTTCCTCAAGGCGGAGCCAGGTCTAAGAGAACTCTCGGACGAGGACACATCGAGAATCTCTGAAAGCCGGCGGCTCCAGAGGATGTCTCGGGCGACGCGGCGCTCTCAGAGCGTTCCGGAAAGCTCTGAGAGCGTTCGGGAACGCTCTGGAACGGATTTATCCTCTTCCTAACCCCGTCCGATTCCTGTAACCAGCCTCGAACTTATCCCCATCCCTAAGATAGGCGAGCAAAAAACGAGGACAATCTTAGGGATGTGCCCTCAGAACCTGAGGGAATCCTGAAAATCGATATCGAGGTGAGGTGATGCTAAGCACAGGGGTAGGGATCTGTTCCAAACTGGTATTCCTGTGGCTCGGGGAGGCGCCCGACGCCTCCTCGCCCGCGGTGGCCCCGCCAGTGGCACTCGCCATGACCACGGCAGGCTCGTGCCGTGACGGGGTCCCCGGCGTCGGTCTCCGGCAGCCCGCGTGGCCCTATGCAGCCTCGGGGGATCGGCGGCTCTTCGACCGCTGCATCGCCCCAGCTTGGCCGATGCTGGGCCGCTGGCGGCACTCAACCTCGGACGCCCGCGGCGGGATCGCCGCCGCGACGGCACGACGAGAGACCTGCCGCGCCCCTCGCCTCGCCATTTCCTGGCATTGACCAGAACTAAAGGACCCCTAACCCTTTGGGAGAGGACGTAAGTTAGGAGGGCCAGGAACATCAGGGATAGAGGGTCTTTTCTGCAGGCGTGTCGAACGACACCGCCCAGAACTGTTATCTCTAGTGCGAAGACGGAGACCTCAGTGAGGCTACGTCTTCATCGTGCTGTTAGGACATGAAGAACCGCAGCCACCGTGCGCCGTCCTGCGCCGCGGGGGCAGAGGTATCGGCCAGCGCCCACAGGCGGCCGCCCGCGTCGGTGAGGCTCTCGGCCTCCCGGCACGGCCGGGCCGCTCGGGGCCGCTGACGACTGCGACGGCGGCGGCGGCCTTCGCGGCAGCGGCGGCGAAGACCACGCTGGTGGCGGCGGCGCCGCAGGCGGACGAGGAAGTGACAGGGGACAGGAGTGGGACAGGGAGGAAGAGCAAGAGGAGGAGCTAGGGGATGTGGGGAGTGACAGAGGGAGGAGGAAACTGGGTATGAAGATGCGGAGCCTGCCGAAACATGGGGCTGGGGCTAAGGCGGGGGAAAAAGGGGAGGGAGTGGACGAGGGGAAATTGAAGGAAACATGGGATGGTGGGGTGAAATAAGATGGAGACAGAGAGCATGAGGGAGAGGAGCATGCAGGAGGAAGAAGGAAAGGGGGGATGGGGGGGAGCGGGAGAGAGAGAGAGGTGGACGGGGGGGAATGAAAGGGAGAGGCAACGAAAAGGACGATGCTGAATAGAAACGGCCAAGACACAATACCGAGCGGGTGTGGCGCACCGTGGGAGCTCCCGCTCGTCAGAAACCCCAGGGTCTCGGCGTGTGCAACTCATCGCTGCAAGCCACCTGGGTGACTCGACCATCAAGGGCTGCCCGAAGCCGCAAACAGTAACAACAAGTACTGGATCAGGTCACCTGGGCGACGAAAAGAAAAGGGGTCCTACGCGAGATGACGTAGCGACCTGATGCCGCGGCCTACGCGGCCCGCCAACGCGAAGCGCCGCAGTGGAGGCGAGGGCGCTTACGCGCGTGCTCACGCGGGCAGCTTACGCGCCACTTTCGGTAATGCCGACCCTGTTTTTCTGCGTCGCTCACCTGAGCTCGTCAGCAAAGGAGGAGGGTGGGGGATGAGGCACGCGCTGCCCCACAACGTCGGCCATCGCCGCGCGGTAGCTTATGTTTGGGAGTGTTGCTCGGCCGGCCAGCGGATGCATACAGTAGCATTCTGAGACATCCGACGGCTCCGGAAAAACGCGACGGCTTGGCAACAACAGCGAGACTGCATTCTTCTCAAATGCAGGCCTGTGGAGACTGGTTGAGGGCTCCAGGCCGACACAAGAAAACGACTGGGGATGGATGGCTGGGCCGAGAAACGGGGTCGAGAGGTCCAGGAGATCAGTATCACAAAGCATGCAGATTTCGGGGGTGTGACTTTGTGGCGGCGTTGCAGAACACACGGACTCTCTCCCACACTCACTCTTAAAACACACAAACACAGTGACACACACACACACACAGGCACACACAAACACACGCACACGACACACGACACGCACACACAAACACACGCACACAAATGCTGACCAAAATGTTGAGCGATTCTCTCATCACGTGGCCCTCATATAGCCCGACACTTCTCACCTCAGGACGCCCCATGCCGCTTTTGTGTTGTATCGCCCCGGTGCCCAGAAGCGGCCCCCGGACGAGTTCGCTGCAGCGTTGAAGGGCCTGGGCCCGTGACTCGCGGACTCCCCTCCGCTCGGGTGCGTCGAAGAGGGGGGGCCAGGGGGGGCTGACGCATCATGGCCCGCTGCGTGCACGGACAACGGGGGGTGGGGGGCAGGGTGCGTGTGGAGAAGGACAGCAGGACAGGAGATCAAGGAGGAACCTCGGAGCCCAGCCCGTGGTGCGCACACAAGCCCAATCCTCACCACCTGTGCGCCACCTGGTGGCGGCTTTCGGGTCATAGCTCGGGCCTCTGGCGGCCGCTCGGCCCCCCGGAAAAGCTTTCGACGATGCGCAACTGCAGGAACACGTCCCGCGGCAAGAGAATCTCCAAGAACCAACAGAAGCCTCCTCCAAGAGCCAACGAAAACGTTCTGACTTTCCTCCTAAAGCCCCCCCATCGCCCCCCTCTTCTGTGGTCGTCCAAACCAGAAGAGGGGGTAGCAAAACATTGGCCCGAAGCACGTTCTCGCCCAAAGGGGGGAACAAGGGACGTGCTGACTCAAGACGAAGGGCCCGTGAAATCTAGGGAGATACCATGGCCGCGGCCATGATGTGCCACCAGAGTTCAGACGGCAACAAAACATGAAACATCGTAAAACATCACAGCTGAAGCCTATGAAGCCATAAGTTCCTGTCATTTTTCAACCCCGATCAAACTGCGACGGCCCTGGGGCCCGGAATGGGCGAAACCGCCCGGCTCGAAAAAACCGAGACGCCAAGATCTCAAGGTCCCCCCAGCGATCAACCCCCTCCAGCCACCCCCGACCTTCGACGCGCCACCCCCTCCCGCGCGCACACGGGCGTCCTCAGGGGCGGCGGTGCCGCGTCTCCGGCGGCTGCGGCGCTCGGACACGGCCGCCTCGGGGGAGAGAACGGAGGCCTTCCCTTCCCCCTTCCCCTCCTCCTCCTCCTCCTCCTCCACCTCCTTATTATTATTATTATTGTTAGTATTATTAATACTATTATTATTAATAGTATTAGTATTATTATTATTATCATTATTAGTATTAGTATTCTTATCATTCTTATTATTCTTCTTATCATTACTAGTTTTATTATTATTCGTATTACTATGATTATAAGTATTAGTATTATTCTTAGTATGATTATTAGTTTTATTAGTATTATGATTATTATTATGATTATTATTATGATTCGTATTATTAGTATTAATATCATTAGTAGGAGTATTATTATTAGTAGTATTACTACTAGCATTATGATTATTATTGTTAATATCATTATTCGTATTATTATTATTATTATTATTATTATTATTCTCTGTTCCGTCCCGCTCATCATTACCCTGCTCCTTCCTCCTCGCTTTTTCCTCTGGCTCCTCCCCGACTTCTCACTTTCTCCACTTTGTCACCGCCCTTATCCTCCTCACGCTCCTTCCCCTCCCGCTGCCTCCACCTGCGCGCCAGGAGCGACGAAGGCGAGGGCGGAGGAGGCGGAGGAGGAAGAGGAGGGCGACCAGGGAGATGGGGAACAGATCGGTGAAAGGAGGGACTGGCAGCGAGATGGAGGGCGACGGAGAGGACGAAGAGGCGGGAGGTGGAGGGCGGCCGGGAGCGTCCTGCTCCAGCAGCAGCTCGCGCGAGACTGTCTTGTACCGCGGCCTCGGGACGGCGCCGCCGTCGGGAGGAGGGGGGGAGGAAGGAGGGGGGGGGGGAGTGGCAGGGACCAGGGAGGGAACTTTGTGGCCTGCGGCCGCTTGGCTCCAGCAGCGCTCGGGCGACGGAGGTGCGCTTCCGAGACGAAGCGAGGCGCTAAAGCAAGCGCGGCGGGAGGCGGAGGGGGCGCGGGGGGGGGGGGGGGACCACGCTCAGAACATGCAGTCACGGTGTGCGCGAGCGTGGGGGACGTGCACAGCGAAGTGGAAGTCCTTGAAGGGACCAGGGAGGAAACACAGTGAAGAACTTTTGCTTAGCGTGTCGCGGCGGCGGCCCCGACGATACGCTATGCCTTGCGAGCGGATAGCGTGTCGCTCCGCTCCGCGGGCCGGGAGGCTGGGAACGGATCGGGACGTTGACGCTTCGAAATGGTGACGTGGATAGCGTGTCGCGTCGAAGCGTGGTGGGCCAGAAGCGGCGGCGCGACAGACACGCCAAGCAACAGTTCCCGAGCGTAGGGAGGAGGGAGGGAGGGAGGAGGGAGGGAGGGAGGAGGGAGGAGGGACGAAGAGAGGTAAGGAAGGAGGGAGTGGGATTAGAGGCCGAGTGGGGGAAGGCAGGGGAGGAGGGCTTCGGGGTTCAAGGGCTGGTGGCGTCTTGGGGGCCGCAGCCCACGAGGATGCGAGGAGAGGGCACAGAAAGAGGGGGAGGAGGAGGGGACGAGGGGGCGAAGGAGGGGAGGAGGAGCGGGGGAGAGGGGGAGGAGAAGGAGGAGGAAGAGGGGGAAGAGGGGGAAGAGGGGGGGAGGGGGGGAGGGAGGTATGCGTATGGGTATCGGCGCATGCACAAGTCTCACTGCGCCGCCGCACACGAGCAGTGCGAACCAAAACTGGGACCCCGCTTACCCCATGACCCTTTTTGGGTGTCACTTTTCCCATATCCTCCGTGTTCTTCTCCTCCTCCTCCTCCTCCTCCTCCTCCTTCGCCCTCTTGCTCCCGGCAAGTGAGTCCCTGGACGCCCCAAGAGGCCTCCAGAGGCCGTAAAAGACCTCGATCCTCGAACCTCGGACCTCGAACGAACCCTCACTCCTCTTCCTCCTCCTAAGGAGGAGGGAGGAGGGCGAGGAAAACGAGGAAGGAGGAAGGATGGGGATGCAGAGGGAGGACCCTGGGTCTGCGGAACTCTCGACCCCTGTCCCAGGGGCTGGCACTTCGTACCGAATGTCGTTATCTTGAAAGCCAGGCGCAAGAACCCTCTCCGAAGCCGCCAACACAGGCGAGGTAATCATTCGAGACGCCTGGACGTCTGGGGCGCCTCCTGGGCAACCTGCGCGCCCCTTCCGGGCAGGAAGGACCAGGACCCTGACATCCTCGCGTCGAGGAAACACACGACGCACAATACCTGCAAACCTTCGGCCCCTTTGCCAGGCCCCAGGACCGTCACACCACTACTCAGGATGACCAGCCAGTCCTGGGGAAGGCCCACATCTCTGGGAATCCAGGCTTTGAAAAATAGAGGGCACCTACTTCTTGCTATCTGGGAAGGAGAAGGAAGAATAGCTTCCAGGCGAGAGGGCCCGGAGGCCTCCTTCCGGGCAGAGCCTGAGCAACCCTCCCTGGCAGGAGGGATGTTGAGGAGGAGGCCCCCCTCCTGGGCAAGCGCCTCCTTTTCTGGAAGTCCGAGCAAGAATAATGATAACAAGTCTAACCATACAGATGATCATGGTAGTCCTGAACATATTAAACATGCTAGTAAGGAGAAAATGCATCTTAGTAATAAGAACAATAAGATCGGGAATAACAAACATAATAGCAATCCATACAACATAACACAAACTATTACAGAAGGAGACGCACATGTTCAACCTTCTGGCTCCGATGCACACGACGCCAACATGACAACAAACGAAGAACTGGCGCCTGCAACTGGTGTTGGGCTTGCGTTCGCCATCTACGGGCGAGTGCAAATCGCCTGCAGCAAGACACCCCTGGCCAAGGCTTGCCGGGCAAAACCGAACCCCCCTCCCAGGCAGGGCGGACACCCGCTGGCCTCCGCCGGCCCCCGATCGCCCTGCATGGGGTCCCCCTGGCCAAGGTCGAGGCCCTCTGCCAGGGGAAGCCGAAGCATCCAAAACGAACTCCCGCCGGCCTCCGCCGGGCCGCTGGGACATCTGCCGCCGCCACGCTCCGCGGAGCCTCCGTCGATCCCCCGCCGAGGGCGAGCTTCTCGGCGTGCCTCGACGGCCGAAGATCTCCCCGAAACGCTCCGCCTGCGCCCCAGAGCTTTCCCGGGGGAGCAAAAGCGCGCATCAGCACAAACTGTCGAAGGTCAGCGCGGACTTCTGGGGATCGGCGCTGGACGCGGGAGGCGCCGCGGGGACGGGGGGGGGGGCAGCACCGACCCAGGAGATCCGTGGCGATTTCCCGAAGGTTATATGCACATGCCTTTTTGCTGCCCCCGTGCTCCAGAGCCGTCCGGCAAAGCTGGCGCAGAAGTCCGCGGCGACAACTGAACCGAAAGACGACCGAACCGAGTTTGCTTCTTGCATGGATTAGGCTCAAAAGCTAACTTCCAGGCAATAGTGGGAACGAGCGAGAGCACGACAGGCGAACGAGCAAGGGCCAGAGTAACACAGCGGCGGAGGGACAGCCACCAGGTGAGAAACCAAGGCCCGAAACCCGCAGGGACCGCCAAGTAAGGCACGAAGCAAGCAGGCACAGTCTCTAGCTTTGAAAGACCAAAGCCTTTCGGCGGCCAAAGGCCGCGGAGCAGCTTTGTCTCTATCTTGCCACCAGGAGCACCGCGACCATCTTTATATGCCTCCCCACCCCACATCAAAATAGGGAGAAGCGGACTGCGCTCGACCCTGACGCTTCGGGCGTCAGGTTCCGCCACGGATTGGCGATCGGCGCAGCCCAACGTGGCGACGAGAGCTGGTGTTTAAACAGAGAGCACAAGACAAGCACAATCAAACCACAATGCCATTGTCAAACTTTGACTCTTTGCCTCCTGGCGAGCCTGCGGCAACAGGCGGAAGGGGCAATAACTCAATCATATTCATCGTCGCAGAGAACATAGATGGGACGAGATGGCTGAGCGAAAGGTGCAGCGTCATCCTCCTCTCCAAGAGCCGTCATCACTCTGTGTGAAACCCAGGGGCGGACAATAACCATTCAGGGTGAAATCACAAGACAGCTCGCCGCTTGGGCCCCACCGCCAGCCCAAACGGCGAGCATAAATCGGGCGTAGCCCCGCACGCATTCGAATGCCCACAATTCGTCCTCGTACTACTCGTGTTCCTTCCCGTCCTCCTCCCCATCCTGATCGTCGTCGTGTTCCTCATCGTTGTCGTCCTCCTCATCATCTTCGTCTTCTTCGTCTTCCTTCTGCTCCAACTCCTCCCCAACGTCCTAGTCTACGACGTCGTCCTCGTTTCTCCCCTTCCTCTCCTGGCACATCGGCTGCCGAGAATAAAACCGTCTCCTATTGGTTGCGCCATAGGTTGCGTCCCCGGCGGCCGAGAACAAAAACGCCTCCTATCGGAGCGCCATAGGTTTCGCCCTCGGCGGCCATGAATAAAACCGTCTCCTATCGGTTGCGCCATAGGTTTCGCCCTCGGCGGCCGAAAATATAACAATCTCCGATCGGCTGCGGCTGAAAATAACACCGTCTCCTATCGGTTGCGCCATATGTTGCGCCCTCGGCGGCCGAGAATCAAACCGTCTCCCATCAATTGCGCCATAAATTGCGCTCTCGGCGGCCGAGAATCAAACCGTCTCCTATCGGTTGCGCCATATGTTGCGCCCTCGGCGGCCGAGAATCAAACCGTCTCCTATCAATTGCGCCATGAGTTGCGCTCTTGGCGGCCGAGAACAAAAACGCCTCCGATCGGTTGCGCCATAGGTTGCGTCATCGGCAGCCGAGACTAAAACCGTCTCCTATCGTGCGCGCCGTAGGTTGCGCCCTCGGCGGCCGAAAATAAAACCGTCTCCCATACTTTGCGCCATAGGTTTCGCCCTTGGCGACTGAGAATCAAGCCGTCTCCTATTGGTTGCGCCATACGTTGCGCCCTCGGCGGCTGAGAGTATAGCCGTCCCCTATCGGTTGCGCCATTGCTTGCGCGCTCGGCGGCCGAGAAAAAAAAACGTCCCCTATCGGTTGCGCCATAGGTTGCGCCCCCGGCGGCCGAGAATCAAAGCGCCTCCTATCGGTTGCGCCATCGGTTGCGCCCTCGGCGGCCGACAATAAAACCGTCTCCTATCGGTTGCGCCACAGGTCGCGCCCTTGGCAGCTCAAAGCCGTCTCCTATCGGTTGCTCCATAGGTTGCGTCCCCGGCGGCCGAGAACAAAAACGCCTCCTATCGGAGCGCCATAGGTTGCGCCCTCGGCGGCCGAGAATAAAACCGTCTCCTATCGGTTGCGCCATATTTTGCGCCTTGGGCAGCCGAGCGTACAGCCGTCTCCTATCGGTTAAGCCATAGGTCGCGCCCTCGGCAGCCGAAGATAAAACCGCCTCCTATCGGGTGCGCTGTAAGTTTCGCCCTCGGCGGCTGAGAATACAACCGTCTCCTATCGGTTGCGCCATAAGTTGCGCCCTCGCTTGCCGAGCATAAAGCCGTCTCCTATCGTTTGCGCCAGAAGTCTGGCAGTCGGCGGCCGAGAATAAAACCGTCTACTGTCATAGGCTATAGGTTACGCCCTCGGCGGCCGAAAATAAAACCGTCTCCGATCGGTTGCGCCATAGGTTGCGCCGTTGGCGACCGAGAACAAAACCGTCGCGTAGCGGGTGCGACCAGTCTGTTCAGTTCAGTTCAGTTCAGCTCAGTGCAGCTCAGTCGGTTTACCTCGCGAAAAACAAATTCGGGCTACGCCCGAAATAAGGGCCTGGAAGGTAAGAACATTACGAGAGGCGGGGAACGCATGCAAAACACTGGCGCGGTCGATCGGGCCCACCTCGTCAATTAGCGCGCGAGTCCCAGGATGCCTCATCAAGCATACGATTCAA